GAGTAATATGATGATGTTGATTCTAAAAATCATGTTGAAAATTACTGATCACCTCTAGTTTTTCGAGTTATAATAGATTTATTCAAAATATTCTTAGATACTGTGAAAATGACTTTTTCTTTAATAACTTTATTAATTTATTGAAAATTGCATTTAATAATGTTCAAAAACAATACTTAATGACAATATTAGTATAAAAAAGCAATGAGTATAATAAGATTATATACATTCAGGCTATGTTCAAAACTTTCATCATGATATTATTTTTTGTTACAAAATATCTGCTTGACTTGTTGCACCTTTTATGTATGTTCTCAGTTTCATGCCGTAAGAACCAACAGTAATCTCATCATTGCAGGATTCCATTGTCCTTGATATCGCTGTTCCATTGTAGAAATATCTTGGTGGAAGTACTCACCATGCTTATTGCTCACTGTATCTAGATCATTTGGAAAGAAGTTTATAAAGTGTAAGATGTGCATCATTAGTGACATTCTAGACCCCATTGCCTGTAGTTCTTGAGAATATCATCAATCACTTTTCATCTCTGTAATTTTCTGAGAAATTTTTGACAACCAGTTTGATTAACAGGTAGCAAGTTCTTTCTGATTGAGTACTGTTTCAAAATCATCACCCATCAGCTCTTCCCGAATCTGTGGCCCAATGTAGATATTTCCTTTCATTTTTGATTCATTGATTTTTGGAAACTTGCGAGACAGATATTTGAAACCATTACCATCTTTGTTCGTTCCTTTTACAAAATTCTTTATGAGTTCCAGTTTAATATGAAGTGGGGCAGAAACACATTTTTAGGATTCACTAAAGGTTGATATTCACTATTCTGTTTCCCTAGTATGTAATTCTCTCTCACTGGCCATTCCTTCTTTTTGAAATGATTTTTATCATCTCGGCTGTATTAGAGACACAAAAAGCAACAGTATTTGGTATACCCACTCTGCAGGCCTAGCAGGAATGCAATAACTTTTAGTTTGCCACATATAGTGATCATATTTGATGGTCTCAAGTATAATCTGCATGCTTTTATAAGTTTCTTTCATGTTCAAAGCATGAGCAACTGGAATCAATGGCTTAGTGTTCCCATTGTGCAAGATTACAGTTTTCAGTCTAACTTTAGATGAGTCAGTAAAAAGTCTCTATTCTTGAGGATGTTGTTCAGTACTTAATTCTTTCATTAGTGCATCAACTTTTATACAGAAACACAAAGCATCTTGCATGCTGTAGTGAGAAGCAAGACTTTGATGGTGACTTGAGTAAATTAAAACTTTTGTTTCTGGAGCTAGTAAATTCTGTTGCTGTAAACGAGAGCCAAGAAGTTCCCCATGCAACTTTGATAAAGACAATTCATGAGTCAGATCATTTAGCTCTTCTTGTGTGATCAGATGAGGCAGTTTATGTTATGATGTCACAGGAATAGGAAAACCAGATGAAGATGATGAAGATGATTCATTGTCGTCTTCACAAGATAACTCTTCTGTTTCCCAATTTGCTGGTGGATATGGCACTGAAAGACCATCATCATGAGGTATTGGTTTCACTGCAGATGCAGTATCTGGATATTTAATGTATTGTTTAGTTTTCCTGAATATCCATAATTATATTAGTCATGCAAAAATAACAGTTAGTTATATGATCTTTGGACTCACGCCATATCATGGGAACGGCAAATGGAATACTAGCTCTCTCCTTATTCAGCCACTGTGTCAAGCCAGATGTGCACACTATACAACACACATGTGGAATGTGGAACCCAATGTTTTTGTTGGTCACCAATTTTACACCCAAAATAGGGGGTATTAAACTATCTTTACCCTGTGTATGATGTTTTTCCTTCATGAAACTGTAATATATTTTTCACAAATGTAGCAGAAACTGTTTGGGTGATTTTTTCACTTTTGGACTTTACTTGAACTGGAGGCAGCCAGCATTTCAAATGATTTTCTAAAAAATATAAACCATTTATGTTTACAGAACTAGAGTTTAAAAAACGAAGTATTGCAGATTATATCGTGGGTATGATACGAGGAAGAAGATTGGGATTTGTTTTGACTGTGCATGGAGCAAGGCTAAGTAACCAACTGAATGAGTGAGACGCATCTGATTCTGCCCCTTTTATGCTCAGTCAAGGAACTTCTTGAATGTTGTGGCAAACTGACCACGTCAAGATTTCGTGATTCCCAGGTGAAGCAAAAGTGATGCAATTTGATACAATTATATCGAGAACAAATAGTATATATGAATAATATATTTGGAAATTTACACCAATAAATTACAGTAAATGTTTGAAGGTATCAAAAATGTATGCCTTTTACCCATTAAACTGTCTAAGTAAATCTAATTTCACATAAATATATTGTACTGAGTTGATTGTATGGTATTTCACATAGTGCTGATAAAATATTAATATATTACAATAATTCAAAATCTAGAGTTGATGAACAACATTTTTGAAATCAGCACCATCAAATTGCCCTGAATCACTTGAATTTTCTCCAGTAGCAAAATTGTTGTTGTCCAGTGTAATGTGACAAGAAGACACACATTTGAGATTTGAATAAGACAGACAAGCCTTCAGTTAAAAGTTCTATTTTTCTAATAGGGTGATTGAAATGAATTGTCATTGGTAGTGGTGGAGGCTGGCAGGAGTTTAAGTTGCCAACTTCACATTTTTTTCCACCATCCACATAACAAGTATAATTTCTTAACAGTAAATGATAACTCTGTTTAAAAATATATTTTCTGACATATAAGTGTCTAAAATGATATCTCAGTTTGGTTTCAAAAATATTCACAGATATATATAAAAGTCTCAAATGATATCTCAGACTGTTATATAAATATACTCCAGTGCATAAGAGCCTAAACTTATCTCAAATTATTATACATATATTCTCTGGTATAAGAAAAAACTAAAATCATATATCAGTTTGTTTATAAAAATATTCCCCGATGTATAAAAGCCTAAAATTATATCTCAATTTGTTATAAATAAGTACTCCAATATACAACAGCCTAAAATGAAATTTTTGAGAAGACGTTAAATAAAAAAATGTCTACATGACAACTGACACATACTGCATGATTCAGAAATTAAATGGAAATCTTCCATTCTTTATCTTTTATCTTTAAATTCTCAAAAGCTATGAACTCTTCTGTTCAAGATGACGATGTAGAGGTTATTATTTCTTGTATTTTAGATGTTGGTGTTTAGGTTATTATTTCATGTTTCAAGGTTGTGCTGTATAGATTACTATTTCATGATTCAATATTGTGGTGTATTGATTATTATGTCCTGTTCAAGATGGTGAAGTATAGGTTATGATGTCTTGTTCAATAAGGTGTATAAGTTATTATTGTATGTGTTCAAGATGGCGATGTATAGGTTATTATTTTTTATGTTCAAGATGGTGATGTATAGGTTATTTCATGTGTGCAAGGTGGTGGTGTATAGGTAATTATGTCATGTTCAATATGATATATAGGTTATTATTTCTAATGTTCAAGACTGTGAAGTTTAGGCAGGGTTGTAGCTACGGTGGTCGGGGCTGCCCAGCACTCCCTTGGAATGTGACTTGTCGCCCAGCACTAAATATCACTGATAAAAAGTTTCCCATAAGCATGAAAAATTTATTTGTTGATGTTGTTAGAAACAAATGACTTTTCCTGAAAAGTCACAAAACAAATAACCTTCATGCTAAAACACTTTTCAAGAAAAGTCCATAGGAAAAAACCTGCATGCTAAACTGAACAAACTACCCATACCACGGTAATTCACTTGTACTTAGCGTGGCACATCAGACAGCTTCATCCACAGTTGGTACCGTGCAAAGCTTATTTTCTTTCCAATAAAAGTTTATGTGGTGTGTAAAAATATTTTCATAATTTTATGGATGTCTAAAATATATAACTATAGCAATGTGTTTTTTGCATAAAAACTTTTTCCAATCTCATTTTGACTAATTTGTATCAACTACCTGCTGTTAAAGATAGATCAATAAGAAAAATAGAACTCAGCCTAAAGTGAATTTTGTCTCCAACTTTATTTTTTTTAAGACTCGTCCTTCACCTTATAACACACGTTTGCCTAGTGACTTCTCATGTGGAGTGTTTTATCAGACTTTCCAAAGGAATTACAAATTTTCAAAATCATTAAAATTATAAACATGAAAATAATAACCTTTTTTTTTCCTGACCAAGGGAGTTGGGCACAATGGTGACAGCTTCAGGCATGTGCATCTATGGGTTAGACTGTCTTTTTTTTTACCACCCACCACTCAAATCATCCTAGCTACAACCCTGTGTATAGGTAATCATGTCATGTTTTCAAGATGGTGCTGTATAGGCTATTATTTCATATTTTCAAGTATCTGGTAATAATATATTAACACCTCCATGACACTCAGTAAATCATTAAGTATCTTCTTAACTCTCACTAAACCCTCTGGTATAATATAATGTACACATCGCTACCCGGTTATAACACTATTGCTTATACCATGGGTCTTCTTCTTCTCTCTACATTCTACTCACCCAGAGAGGAACCTTCTGCTATGTCTTTAAGAAAAAACTAACAATTATTAAAAAAGTAAAAAATGAGGTTTCAAAAGTGCAACTTTGATTCTCTGGTAAAAAAGAACAAAAAATTACTGACTTTTTAAAGAAATGGTTCAACTGGATAAATTCCATTTACTGACTTTTATATTGATATAAATTCGTTTATAGGTATTTTATTGTTCGTAGCAATTAAAGAAAACTTTAAAAATATGTACATACTGTATTGCATAATACGACTATTTTCTCGGCTATATAGCACCCCCCCTCGAAAGCCTCGTTATAACCGTAGGGTACTGTACTGAATATGTTGCTTTTTTTATAATTAATGAACAAGATGTTGACGTCATTCTAGTCCAAACCAAAAACATAAACATAGCATATTTCTTGGCTTTTGATTGGTTGTTAATGTTGTTCTAAAACGAAACAAAACTGTAACTACAGTTTGTGGTTCCTATGTTTTGATTGGTTGTTTCTCACATACCACTAAGGTGTATCATCAGCATTTGCACACACTATCACAGCTTTTCTAGACTTTGACGTGCCTAGAATCCTGACCGCTCAACCTCCACCCTGTATGTGTATCCTTCCATACACCCATGCTCTGTAGGACTTAAGTTTCATATTTTTGAGATGATGGAGTATAGGTTATTATTTGATGTATTGAAGATGGTGATGATGTGTTCATTACTATTTCTTATGCTCAAGATGGTGATGTATAGGTTATTATTTGGAATGTTCAAGATGGTGATGTACAAGTTATTTCATGTGTGCAAGGTGGTGGACTATCGGTTATTATTTTATGTATTGAAGACAGTGATGTATGGGTTATTATTTTATGTGTTGAAGAGAGTGGTGTATGGGTTATAATTTTATGTGTTGAAGACAGTGATGTATGGGTTATTATTTTATGTGTTGAAGACAGTGGTGTATAGGTTATTATTTTATGTGTTGAAGACAGTGATGTATACATTATTATTTTATGTGTTGAAGACAGTGATGTATACATTATTATTTTATGTGTTGAAGACAGTGATGTATAGGTTATTATTTTATGTGTTGAAGACAGTGATGTATAGGTTATTATTTTGTGTGTTGAAGACAGTGATATATGGGTTATTATTTTGTGTGTTGTAGACAGTGATGTATAGGTTATTATTTTGTGTGTTGAAGACAGTGATATATGGGTTATTATTTTGTGTGTGTTGTAGACAGTGATGTATAGGTTATTATTTTATGTGTTGAAGACAGTGATGTATAGGTTATTATTTCAGGTGTTCAAGATGGTGACGTATTCATTATTATTTCAGGTGTTGAAGACAGTGATTCATAGGTTATTTTTTTTTGTTTAAGGTGTGACTGCTGCAGCTTGTTTGTCATATTTGATTGAAACTGTTAATTGGCGAAGTTTTTGTTACATTTAGAAGCCATTGTAATTGTACCTGAAATGGCCAAGAACGAAGTTTCAGAAGCTCGAATTGATACAAAAGTGGATATGAAACTGGATATTGTAACTATCCCATCATCAGAAGACTGGGGAACAGCTGAGAGTATACGTTACATTAAGGATAAAATAAAGGTTTGATACCTATCTGATATTTTTGTTTTATATTTTTAAGAAATCAGAAAGCTTAAATTCTGACAAGGTACTTTACTTCCACTCACATACATAGCTATTCTCGAGAGTTCAGCGCTGGCCTCTTTTGCAAAATTTTTTCTGTATGCCACAATCTTATTATTCCTACATGCCCCCTCTTGGTTCACATGGTTTAATTGATGAATGCATGCAAATTATCATGCGACAAATCTTCACCAATAAATATGCCTCACACACATGTGACTCCCCCTATGCTATTCTACTTAATTATCACTTCTGATTCTGCTTGTGTTAAGACAGTTTCTTTAGTGCTCTCTCAATTCAAATTTGAATTCTCTTAGCATTTATTTTTAGTTTACAACCTATAATTCCAATATGGTACTTCCCTCTTCTCACAAGATTTGCTATTCTCATTCATTGCTGCCCCCTATATGCAAACTTTTTATTTATGCAAGCCACAAGCTTTCTGCTTCCCCCTATTGGAATCAAGTGATTCCAATGTGTCTTTCATGTAAATCATCATGAGTCACTAATAGGAGCATAGTACACTCACCTGATGCATGCACCTCTACTGAACTATTGCTTCTCATTTGGCAGCGCTTGTACTTGGATGTTTTTTTTCATTCTTTACTGTCTCGCGTTCGTATTTAGTATACTCACGAAGTGGTTTTCATTTATTATAACTTCCAAATTTTCTGGAATTTGAAATTTGCCTTCATTTATCCCTGCTTATTCCAGTCACATTCCAAAGCTTATTACTTTGAGGGTTACTCATATGACTAACACCATCTCTCAGGTCACAGGTATAGAGGCAATCTAGCATGGGTTTTTATTGGTGTTTATCCTCCAAGGGATTGAATGTTAAAAAGGTCGGCAGCCTCTTTCTTTGGTTGTCCCACAATTCCTCCTTTAGACACTGACCCTGTTTGGGTGGATGGAGATCTTGATAGTCTTTTTCCACCACCAGATTTCAAGTGTTTGGATCTTCATTTTCATTATGTAGTCTCCATTTCCACTTGGAGATTCTATGTTCTTTTCGCATGTTTATAATGGCTTTCATTCAAGTTACTCCACAGACAGTTTCTGCCTTATTTTGTCGGACCAAGCCTTGTGCTACATGGTCCACCATTTGCCATACAGTCCACCGACTTTGGAAAGATAAGAAGTTTTACAATTTTATTGTTAATATTATTATTTGTAATTATTTGAATTTCATAACATATGCTTATTTAGATTAGTTATTACTAAGTTACGTTATGATTCATAATTACTCTTCATTGTTCTGTTGCTCATATGGCTTCTTTCTGTGGTGCCCACTTCTGCCTCTTTATTCCTAGTCAGTTTTCCTCGAGTTGAGATCTTTCTACTTCTGCCCTTACCAATTGTGGTTGGCTTACTCCCCCTTTATCGTCTTCTCCCCGGACCTTGTTCCAAGTGTTTTATCATCAGATTTAACATCCTTATCTTTCCCTGTCATCTTGTCTTCATTGGCCATTCCTACATTCAAGCATGAGGACTACACCTAATACGTTTGTCTCCCCTTATCTACACCGTATTGTGGTTTTCGTCTACCACCTGTGACCATTTTTCATACTTCGGTGCGAAGTAAATTGCTATTCATTATTTCTTTCCTTTCAGGGGCCCTTACTTCATTATTCACTATTTGGATCCTGCTTCGTGGCGAGCAGTGCCTGACCAGGTATCATTCAATTGAAATCTGCACCGTACAGCCATGTTGAATTGTGCTCTCTTCCATTGCTTCCCAATGCTCACCAGTGAGATTGCTTACGGTGAATAACCTCACTTCATAAGCATGCCTGTTCTGGACCTGTTCTGCTTATTTTTCCCAACCTGAATTTGCCATGTCTTCCTCAGTTACTCCTGTGGGTTCTGTTAGGCCTAAAAGGCTTTTTTGGACATGATTTCACAGGTATGTTCTGTTTTATCCCTTTCTCCAATTTCTTATAATACTCTACCTTCCTTGTTACACGATACTCCTTCCTCTCAGTATTTTGTATTTTCAGCCTCTCCTGATATTATGGTTCATCCTGAGCATTTTGTATGTCAGTTACGTGATGCCACAAAAATGTCTCACTTTCTGTGGGCTGTAGAACAGCTTGCTTTGGGCTACCATCAGGCCGATTTTCTATTCTTGGATTCACAACACTTGGAATCCATTTTTTCATTTGGGGGAGGGGGATTGGATCCTGATTGTCCTCTTCTTTTGTCCCATGCCCAACTTTCTCTCCTTCATCTTACACTCGCATCTATCCTACGGTACTTGTCCACCATCTACCTTCTCTTCAAAGTGATTTACTGAGATCCTGAGGATTTCTCGGAAGAATAAATTTGCCTAACTACCTCCTTGTTGGCACATTTGTCGACTTTGGCTCTTTCTTTACATATGTGATTTCTCTAATGTTTGGAGAGAGACATAATTTTGTCCCACGTTTGTTTACCATCTCCTTATCTTTGGGATTTACACCTAACCCCTTCTTCTTCATTGGTCGATCTTTGGAGATTTTCCAGTGACTTTGGAATTTTGGGTGGAATTTGTGAGACAGCAGTTGACTCTTTCTTCGTTGGTTGATTGTTTATCTTGCATAGAACCTTGACAATCTCCTATATCTGTTCCCTGTCCTACTCCTTCCCAACCCTTACCTGTTCCATCCACAAGAGGATCTTCTCGTCATTTTCTTAAATTATGAGTGTCTCGTCGACAACAGTATTGGTGACTATCCTGTGAGTTATGGTCCAGTGGGGGCTTGTTTGTCCAAGTTTGTTCATTTATGGCGAGATTTTGCTAGGGATCTATGGTTCCTTCAGGTTTTATTGGAGGGACTTGTCATCCTTTTCGTCCCCTCTCCTCCATTGTCTCAGATACCCATTTCCTTTCTATTGCCTCAGGATCCTCCCACATGTTAGCATCTGTACAAGGTAGTACAAGATCTTCTCTCTCAACATACCATCAAACCTGTTATTCACCCTTCTCCACGGTTTTATTCCAGGCTGTTTGTGGTTTCCAAGAAAACTGAAGACTGGTGGCCTGTGTAAGATCTGTCACGCTTCAGTTGCTTCTTGGTGTTTCCTCATTTTGCCATTTTTGTTTATCACTCTCAGGTGGGTTTTTTCTCTGGGTTTATGGTAACCTAGGTCAACATCTTGAAGGCTTATCTCCATATTCTCATATCAAGACACTACCTTCAGTTTGTTCATCATGGGGTGGTTTATCAATTTTGCACTCTTCTTTTCAGACATGCTACAGCTCTGTATGTCTTTATCGGGTGGTCAAGACTTTTGTGAGTTTTATGCACTCTCGAGGGTTTTGCTTCCACCATTACATGGACAACTGGCTTCTCTTGGCTCATTCTGAACTGGAGTCCACTTAATACACCTTCTTCTTTCAGAAGTGGTTTGGGTTGGTTGGTTTGATCAATTTGGAGAAATCCTTCCTTGCTCTTACCCAATATTTTATCTATTTGAGTGTTTTGTTCAACACTCCTCTTTGACTCCATTTGATGGAGCTGGCAATCATCAACACCCTTACTGCTCCCTTTCTTACTGCTCACGAGGTTCAAACTCTTTTGGGGATGTGGTCCTCTATGATGGTACTTATCTCTATGGGTTGTGCTCATATGAGATCCCTTAAGTGCACTCTTCATGATCTCTTGGATGTTCCTGTTACCCTTCCTCCTTCTTTTGTCGACAATTTACATTGGTGATTGGACAAGGTTCACACTTTTGCAGGGGTTCAGATTCCTCCCCCTCGTTTGGGTTTACACCTTTTCACAGATGCTTCAGTTCATGATTGGGGGTGTGTGGGTCAGGCACCAAGTTGCTTTGGGTCTATGATGGAAAGGTCTTACCATACCAATATCCTGGACCTGCTTGCTGTCCAGCAGGCTTTGGATCATTTTCTTCCTCTTGTCTTCAATCTTCTGGTTATGATCCATACAAATAATTCTATGATTGTAGCATATATCAATCATCAGGTAGACACCTGTTCTCATTCCTTTACTTCTTGAATGTTGGATCTCCTGTTTTGGGTCTGCACACAAGGTATTCATCTCTTTGTGTGTCATATTCTGGGTGCTTTCAGCCTGGTTGGGATCATCTTTCCCACTGGACAAAATTTATCTGACAAAGTGGTCTTTAGATCCTAAGGTTTTCCAGTGGTTGTGCACTAAGGGGGTACCCCACCTAGATGCATTTGCCACTATCCTCAATATCCAATTACCTCAGTTTTGGTCTCTGGTACTTCATCCACTTGCTGTGGCTGTCAATGCATTCAGTCAGGATTGGATAGACAAATTCCTTTATGCTTATCTGACTCCTTCCCAGGGTGATTTCTATCATCCACTTCACTCTGTATCAGGCCCTTCTGATTGTCCATATTGGCTGGCTCAACTGTGGTTTCTATGGCTGCTTCAGATTCAATCTGCCCCACAATTGCCCCTTCCAAATACTCCATCCCTTCTATGGAAACCTCAGTTCTGGGTAGTTCATCTCACCATTCCTACCCTTCATCTTCACACACGTTTTTTATCTGGTACTTGTTGAGGAAATCCAGTTTATCATGCTGAGTAGCTTCATTGTTGGCACATTCTCTTTGACCTTTTTTCCATGGAGGTTTATCATCGTAAGGGGAACACCTTCTGACATTGGTCTTTGGGCCAAGGGTTCCTCCCTGCTCGTCCCACTCTTCCAGTTATTACGAATTTTCTCACTTGGTTGTTTGAATAGAGGTCTTTCGTCTCTTTGATTGTGGGTTATTGGGTGACCTTGTTCCACCTAATACATTCCTTCCAGATTTGTAGTGCTTCATTGCTTTCCTTTACCTCCATTTGAACCTTTGTCTTCTTGTTCCATGTTTCATTTATCCAAGTCTATTTCCTCTTCCTTTTGGTCTGTTGATATTTCATGTACTCTGTATCATTCCTCCTATCTTCTCCTTTACCTGGACTGATCCTTCCTTCCCAAGACTTAGGCAGCTAGGGAGGGTAATTTCTCCTTCTCTCTGATTTTCCTTCCTTCATTCCATTTCCCACCTCTAATCCAGGGCTGATCTGGATAGACTTCTATGTCCCATTCATGCTCTTTGTTATTATATCACACACATGGCTTCCTTCTGTCATAGCTATTCCTGTCTATACATTCCTTGGCATTTATCCTCTTTTTGTGAGCTATCTCTTTCCACCCTTACCAATTGGGTTCGACTTTTAATTTGATTGGCTTATTCTTCCCTGTCTCCTCCTTTCTATCAATTATTCTGGGTGTCTTCCCATCAGATTAGGTACCTAATTTTTTCCCTAGTGTCTCATCTGCATTGTCCATTGGAGGAAATTCTTCAAACCACTCCTCATGTGGACCATTCCTCATACTTTCATCTCTCACTATCTGAATCGTGTTGCTATTTCTTTCTGGTCGGTTATTGTTTTTCACCCGTTGCCATTCTTCAGACCTCGGTGTGACTATAACTGGGTAAGTTTTCTTTTGTTCCTTATATATCTTTTTCAGGGACCTATCCCACATTTTTATCAGGATCCTGCTCTGTGGTAAGTGGTGCCTGGCCAGGTATCCTTCACTTAGTTTATTACTTAAATCTGCACAGAAAGGCCATGTTGATTTTATTTTTTTTCTTCCATAGTCATTAAATGCACACTGTTCTGTAATATACTAGAGATGGGGTGTTCCACAAGATTGCTTGTAGGTTATTCGTCTTGATATATTTGCTTCTTAAATATGCCCATTCTGGACGTTACTCACCTGTGGACTTCATGGATAAAGCAGAAGGTGATAGCTGCCCATCCCCTAGATTGAACAAATCAGGTTTGGTCTTCTTTTCAATATTTTATTCCCTCTGTTTCTTCCAATGGAGTAAGAGAGTTGTTACCACTTTCCAATTCCAAGTTGCTGGTGTGGTGGACCATGGAGGTCTCCTCCTGAATGTAAAATGTGCAATATAAAAATAATATATCCATTCAGTTGAGAGTAGGGCGGTGGTGTTCTGTTGGTGTCGACATAATTGGGATCCCTCATCCTATCTTTGCATGGAAGTTGGTTCCCACCAGTTGAGTTTTGGATTTAGAGCTCAACCAATCAACATTTTGACCACACTCATGGTGTAACGATTGGAATCCCTCATCCTACCCCTGCCTGGATGTCAGTTCTCGGCAGTTGGGTTTTGGATTTAGAGCTGAACCAATCAACATCATGTCCTCATACATGTAGTGCAGTTGGGATCTCTCATCCTACCCCTGCATGAATGTTGGTTCCCAGTGGTTGAGTTTTGGATATAGAGCTGAACCAATCAACACAAGTCTTCACACATGTTCAGAGTGTCCCTGCTCATTTACTCAATTTGTCTCAGGTGCACTTCCCTGTGTTTTTGGTCATGATGGGTGCTCTTGGTTGTTGCTGTGCTTCCACCTCTTGCACTCTTTTCAATGCCTTTATGCTGGGGATGGTACTGCATTTGGGATGGTTCCGGTATGTTTGGATGTTGGTCCCTGGCGTTTGAGTTTTGGGTTGAAGTTGACTTACCAACGATATGATCTTCATCTTACCCCCGCCTGGATATCAGTTCCCTGAGTTTTGGACACAGTTGACTTGTTGTGTTTGGTCCGTCGTGCTGTAGCCACTCTACACCTTGGGTCACATCCCATCTTTTACCCACAATGAGATGAGTTGTACTCCTCATTGTTTTCCACCTGACTCAGTCTCATCTTTTCCATGTCTGGGCGAAGAATATACCTGGAACAGAAGTGGTGCGGTCTTCCACATATCATCCTCTTCTTTGAGGGTTCCCTCTTGGGGGGGTATCCTTTGGACATTTTTTGGAGGATGCTTTTCTTTTCTCCCTTGCACCAGTCCCTCCATCTATTCAATGTGGGATTCTAGCTACATATGTAAGTGGAAGTAAGGTACCTTGTTGGAAGTTATAATTTTCCTACACTGAAAATATTTCTGACAGGTACTTTCTTCTGCTCACACTTCCCACCCTTCCTTCCCCACAGTTTACTGGTGCTTAGTTTCTGTCTAAACTCAGAGTGATAGTTAGGTAGAATAGCATAGAGGGAGTCACATGAGTTACGTGTATGTGAGGCACGTTTATTGGTGGAGGTTTGTTGCATGATAATTTGCATGCATGAATCAGTTAAAACGTGAACTGAGAGGGTACGTAGGAATAAAAGGCTTGTGGCATGCGAAAAAAAATTTGCAAATAGAGGGCAGCACTGAACAAGAATAGGTATGTATGTGAGCGGAAGTAAGTACCTGTTGGAAATATATTTTCAGTGTAGGAAAATTATAACTTCTGCAGTTTTCATGGAAATGTGCTTTAGTGTTAAAGTTTACTTTTTCAAATTTTCTAGGTTGACGTTCTGATTATCAGCTGTGATCTTATCACTGACTTTGAATTGCATCAATTGGCAGATGTATATCGTACCCACAGTGCTTCACTGGCCATGTTATTAGCTCCAGTTTCTTTAAGTTTGGTTAATGCCCCTGCTCCTGGACAGAAAGGGAAGCATAAAAGAGGTATGTAATAAACTAAACTGTAATAATTTAACTAGTTAACGTCTATGAACAAAGTCTCTAGGAAACTATTACTTGTACAGAGAGTTAATTACACTTTATGAAAATGGATATATTACTGTGTGCTAATGCACTGATGTTTCACTAAAAATGTGAGCATTTAACAGTGCAATACAGATAGGTTTGTGACTAGAAGAATATTTCAGCCTTTATAAGGAAGGATATTAGTATAGCAAGCTTCTTAAATAATGTATAGCCAAAGGACATAAAATATTGGAGAAGGGAGTTTTCATTGTTCACAGTGAAAGCAGCAAAACATACACAACAGATTGTTTGGGACAGCAAGTTACTCTTGAAATGACAATCAAAGTCGATTTGAAGCAACATCCTCATCCACGAGTTAAAAGTTAGGATTACAAAGAAAATCAGTAATAAACAAGTTAGAAGCTTAAGAAGGCTCACAAGCTTTAAGCCACAGTTCTTAACCCTTGGTATAATCTTGAACATCATTCTTACAAAATGATTAACCCCAGCATAATCTGGAACACCTTTTTACAAAGTGATTAACTCTCCTTATATCCAGAATGTCTTTCTTACAAAGTGATTAACACACAGAATAATCTGGAACACCTTTTTAAAGTGTGATTAACTCTCTGTATAATCTGGAACATCATTTTTACAAAGTGATTAACTCTCCTTATAATCTTGAATATCTTTCTTACAAAGTGATTAATCCTCAGTATAGTATGGAACACCTTTTTAAAAAGTTTGCCCCTGAAGAAGAAAGGTCCACCTTTCAAAAGTGCTCAGGTTATAGGGTTTTTATTCATTTTACAAAGTGATTACCGATATCCCAGATTATAAAGAGATTAATCACATTGTAAGAAAGATATCCCAGATTATACAGAGTTAATCACATTGTAAGAAAGATATCCCAGATTATAAAGAGAGTTAATCACATTTTAAGAATCTCTCTGTATAATCTGGGATATCATTCTTACAAAGTGATTACCTCTCTGTATAATCTGGGATATCATTCTTTCAAAGTGATTAACTCTCTGTATAATCTGGGATATCATTCGTGGTTTTGTAAATATTATTTTTGTTGGGTGGGGATATATTCAGCTTATTTATGATTTCAAGTGTTGAAATGTTAACCTTCTTAACAGTGTGTTCAATTAGAAATGTCCATCGTAGTTCTGTAAATCTCCCATCAAACAGCCCACTTGAGAAACTAGTGTCCTTTCCCTTTACAGTTTTGCAATATAGATATTCATTATATGGATCAAGATCATTTTTCCATTTCTGAGAGGTAGCAAAGTGTGGAAACTTTCTTAACTTCCTTTCCCATCTTTACTTATAATGGTTGTAAGTAAATTGATGAGTGTGATTAGTAGTTCTTTAAAGTTTGTCCTGACATGTGCTATCACTGAATCCTGATCATAGCAGAAATGGCAAAAATGTCCACTAAGTTTATGATTAAGAAAATAATGAATCATGAGAAATGTATCACAGTTGATATTATTTATCAAAAATGGATGCAAAATACTATGCTATATTAATTACTGGAACATTTCTAGAACTGCTGAAATTGCTGCACTGAACGTTTTCCCATTCCATTATTCAAAACTGCTAATGAATTTTGTACAATGTCTGCACTGAAACAAGGAATTACTCCATTTATTCATAAATGTAGGAAGTGATAAGACGTGTGTATATATGCTTTGTCTAGGTAAAAAATATTTCACCCAACTATTTATGATGTAGGAGCTAAAGTTACTTTTTGTACATTATTAAAATATTTAATTGTTACTAGTAAAAGTGAGTTAGACTTAAAGTTTGTGATTGACTGGCTATATTTTTAGTTAATGTATCAAAATTTATTGGTGTAGTTGAAAAATAGTCTCTTTCTTTATTGTAAATTGATGTTTTATTGTATATATTAAGATAGTGGTGTAAAGTAGGAGTTTATTGGTCAGCTTAGTATACAGAATATAAAGGGCTGCCTTGAAGATTCATCTAATTAGCATTTTGTCTTACAGTGCGAGATATTGTAGGCATTGAATCCCACACTGGCCGTTTAATGTTTGTGAATTCTGAGGCAGATTTTGAAGAAAACGTTCCTCTAAGAAAATTCATTTTAACAAGGTGGGTTGAACTGAGATAAAAAGATCTCTGAATATAAAACTGTTATGGAGTTTAGTACATGCAATAGCTGTATTTGTCTGTACAATGGACCCTTGTTAGTCTGTACATGAACAGTCTGGATTATTTACAGTCTATTTGGTTTTTTATGTAGACAAAACTTCACAATGGGAAATTTAATCAGTAATAGGTATGTTCATGTTCTGAATCTGAACAGCTATTTCTGATAATAAACATTCATTCTCTATGGATACATGATTCAGAAAACTGATCATGACTCCAAGAGAGTCAAGAAGTGTTTGATCAGAACAGGAAATGAGGTGATAATTAGTGACCTCAAAACACATGCCTTTGTAGAGGGTACTGGTGGGGCAGTTGTTCCAAGGACCTTCACAGTAGGGCTGTTCTTACTGTAACAAATACTGAGAGGTTATCAGAGTGATTTATGCTACAGTTATGTCACAGTGCTAAACAACAAAGACATGAAGGAATATCGGCATAATTAAAATGTGATGGTTCTTTAACAAGAAAGCAATACATGTACAATAAGTTATTGGTTTGAACAAAATGATGATTTATGTGGAAATAATAACATAATATACCACTTTGATTACATAATTCATACAACTGATTATGTTTAAATTATTAATCTTTACAGACACCCATTTCTTCATGTGTATATAGTAAACAAACAGTAGTAAAAGAATAATACAAGAGTCTCCTTGCATCTTTTTGTTATTTGTGTTCTCACAGACACACAGTTGTTCAGTTTTATATAGTGAACAAACTGTATTGAACAGTTATACAAGAGATTAATTCACAGACATCTAGTTGTTCGGGTATATGTAGTGAACTATCAAATTTTTGTATAGGGTCTATATTCTTTATAGTAGGTGTATGTGACTTGTTGGTGATAAATTTGAACAATAAATGGACAGCACACAATCCACTTGTTTTAAAATAATATATTCAAAACAAGCCAAGTGTATGTAAAAAAAAATCCTTACACTATTGATTACCACAGTTGAATCTAAGGCTTTAAATAGTCCTCCATTTTTTCAAAAGTCCGCACAGGCTGGTTCAGTTACTTTAGTACCCAGTTGATGAGATTAATTATTTCTTCTCTACTCTTTTATCAGGATAGAATCAGTGATAAATTCACTTATGTTACCCATGGGTTACCACAGTCTTATCCAGAGCTTTAAATAATTCTCTTTTACTTCAAAAGTCCACAGAGGCTAGTTCAATTACTTTAGAACCCAGTTAACAAGATGAATTTTTCTTCTCTATTGTTAAAATACAAGCTGTGAAACTCACTTCAAAATCATCATTATAACTGTTTGTTACCACAGTCATATCCAGAGCTTTAAATAATTGTCTCCTTTTTGTCAAAGCCCATATAGGTGTATTCAGTTATTTTAGAACACCCTTTGACAAGACAAATTAATCTTTATCTCTGTTGTTACAATATAAACTGTAAAACTCACTTTAGATATTGCCCATTACGACTAAACTGACAATCACACAGTCTTCCTAACTTTTACTTTAACTTCTTATTTGCACTTTGTATCTGCACATATTTATAACATGTGACAGAAAAATCTAGAAATATCTAGCCCTCTAATAACAACAATATTCACATAACAAGAAAAACTTACAAGCTTCAAGTAAGAAGACACCAACAATACTACAAAAGCCTAATACAACAGTCAAACTGCATATACAACGTATGACATAGAGAGTCAGATAACAAAACTTGTCATCACTATCATTTTTAAAATAATTAACTTTTAACTCTCTTGTTATGAAAACTAAATAATCATTAAATAAACAGTCTTGTATATCCAACACAAACAAACAGTATTAAAGAATAATACAAGAGATTCATTGCAACCTTTTTTTTTGTTATCAATGTTCTTACAGACACTTAGTTGTTCAAGTTTATATAGTGAACAAACAGTATCAAAATGATAATACAAGATTCATTGTAACTTGTTTGATATCAATGTTCTTACAGACACTTAGTTGTTCAAGTTTATATAGTGAACAAACAGTATCAAAATGATAATACAAGAAATTCATTGTAACTTGTTTGATATCAATGTTCTTACAGACACCCAGTTGTTCAAGTTTATATAGTGAACAAACAGTATCAAAATGATAATACAAGAGATTCATTGTAACTTGTTTGATATCAATGTTCTTACAGACACCCAGTTGTTCAGGTTCATAGTGATTTGATGGATGCCCATCTGTATCTGATGAGTAAGTGGCTTGTAGACTACCTAGTTGAAAATGAGTAAGTTTTATTCAATTTCTACAATTAAGACTATTAACATCAAAAAGAATTTAGACAATAAAAAGAAAGCTTCCCATATCAGGGACCAGATGAAGTTAGAAAATAGTAAATAGGCATGTGAGTAAGAAAATATTAATAATTTGATAAATGTGGTATTTAGTTGATATGATTAATGTTTATATTTATACTAAAATTATTAATATAACAGAAGATGTTTTTCTAATGTTTTTTTCATCAGTTTCTAGTGAAAAAAGAAGTTTTATAACACTTGATGTATCATATGTTTCTGCCCAAAGAAACTTTGTTTAAGGTTTATTTATTGTAAGTGTCAGTTTGATTGTAAAGAAAGTTTATTCCAGGCTTACTTTTGTGTGTGTGTCAGTTTGTACTTATTAATATGTACCTACAGATGGTAACACATTTTTTTCAGAAATATTACCACCATTAAGGGTGAACTTCTACCCTCTGTTGTCAAGAAGCAGTTCTATCACAGTAAGACAGAAGGAAAGAACGATATTACAAACATGAAAGCTTCAGTGACTTCTGTGGATCCAAAGAAAGGTACTTTCAGTATTTAAATACCATCTTAAATATTCAAATATTTTGAAAGTGATCATTAGGTATTGGATAATGTTACAACAATACAAGTAGTCAAAATATTTTTCATGTGGGTAATTCACTAGGGAACTACAAATCCAAGTCAACCCTTTTGGTGTGTAATTAATTACATTTTGGGCTGGTTCCTGAAAAGTGTCAGTTATCCACCAAAAACTTAAATTAGGAATTTAATCTTTTCTAGTCCTTTTTCAATATCAAAAGATGATATATTTTCTATATTTGTCACAACAATTCATGTACTCAAACACTGAACAGAAAAACAAATGACGAACATTTACTTGTACATTAACTTTACCACCTCATTATGAAACCTCTGGCTTATATTAGTATAACAGGTGATAGATACTAGAATACTGAATATATATGTAAGGTATATATAACATATAAAAATGGTAATTTATCAATAAAATTAACCTCCAATCATGTAGCTACTTACTGCGTGAGCTGACAGCCATGCATATGTAAACACATCCACTAGTTATGGTGTTGCTCACAGATGGCAGCACCACGGAGATGTGGCATGGCATTCAAGGATGTGAGGGTATTCCTGTTTGTCACAACAAATGGCTATAAATTTCTAAGTGTATATATCTGCTTGATGGTTAAGTAAACAATGAATCCATGTTGTTTTTGAAATTAAGTTCCAAAATGATAAAAATGTTTTAAATATTTTAACCGAAGTTTTTTGACATTAATATGAGAAATCATATTTTACCACAAGAGTATAATTTTATCATTCTTTACAAAAATATTATAATAAAAATGTTATTTCTGTTTTGTGGCAGACATTCACTCACATAAGAAAACAGGTGAATGGTACGATTTGTTAAGCGAGCTGTCAACAAGAAGTAATCAGTGGGGGAGTTTGGATGACTGTTACCATGGGGATCAAGTTCGTTGTTATGGGTACATCATGAAAGATGGGTTGTGTGTTCGGGCTAACACTTTGGGATCGTATGCTGAAGTTAATAGACTGGTGCTGTACAATTTTAATTCAGATTTTCAAACTAAATTTAGATATGTTTGTAGAATATTTTTATTTCAATGGAATTATGTACTGTGTTAACAGAAACACTTGATTTTTAACTCCTTAAACCCAAACGGATGGTAGGAGCCAAAAATCTCAATTTACCCATCAGACAGTGGCAGTATCTGATAACATTGATGTCCCTTTGGCTGAAAATTAGTTTAAACCATGTTATTATCCAAAAAATGAAGAAAATGGAAGTTTTATAAGATATGGGGATAATTATTATGAAATAATTCTGGCAAAAAATAACAAAAAATTATGGGTTTAAAGAGTTAATGAGATTATGTACTGTGTTAACTTAAACACTTGAATTTTAATGAATTATGTACTAAGTCAACTTAAACACTTGAATTTTAATGAGATTATGTACTGTGTTAACTGAAACACTTGTCTTTTAATGAGATTATGTATTAAGTCAACTTAAACTCATGACTTTTAATGAGATTATGTACTGAGTCAACTGAAACACTTGACTTTTAATGAGATTATGTATTAAGTCAACTTAAACTCATGACTTTTAATGAGATTATGTACTGAGTCAACTGAAACACTTGACTTTTAATGAGATTATGTACTAAGTCAACTTAAACACTTGACTTTTAATGAGGTTATGTACTGTGTTAACTGAAACACTTGACTTAATGAGATTATGTACTAAGTCAACTTAAATTTTAATGATATTATGTACTAAGTCAACTTAAACACTTCTAAAAATTTCTTAAGCTAAAATACTGTTCATAATCTTTCACAAAACTTCATTTATTGATATGAAATTTTACTTGCAAATTATTATGCATACTATATATGTTTCTTGGAGCAAAAGTTAAAAGTAGCATACTCTATTTAAATTTAATAACAGTTAATGAAAGTTGGTTAAGGTATATCTTACGTTTTTAATTTACTGACTGTCCAAATAAGAGCCAAAGAGAGCATATATGATTGTTAGTGATGTTAATATACTCAATCTTTCCATTTCTAAAGATGTCAATTCAGTCTTAAGATAAGCTACAAGCCAGTCCTTCCATAACTAAAGGTACAAAGATGTCACTTCAGTCTTAAGATAAGCTACAAGCAGTAACAGAAAGATTGGCTTATAGCTTGTCTTAAGACTGAAGAGACATCTTTCAGTAACAGAAAGATTGGCTTATAGCATATCTTAAGACTGAAGAGACATCTTTCAGTCACAGAAAGATTGGCTTATAGCATATCTTAAGACTGAAGAGACATCTTTCAGTAACAGAAAGATTGGCTTATAGCATATCTTAAGACTGAAAAGACATTTTCTGTAACAGAAAGATTGGCTTATAGCATATCTTAAGACTGAAGAGACATCTTTCAGTAACAGAAAGATTGGCTTAGATTGTTTCAAAACTGCAATGACATGAGGTGTTAAATATTTTAGTTTTTCAACCATTTAGTAATACTACTTTGTTAATTTTTCAGAATACTTGTATACTATTGTTATTTTGTAAGGTTACTAATTAATTTAATTATTTAACCTTCTACATTGCTGCTGTTAATTTGAATGTCTGTGTGTTTAGGGTTATTGTGTAACTTGTATTAATGTTAGAATTTCATTTCACAGATTCCTAAGATATGGGACAGTGTAACGGGTAACAGTGAGCGACCAATATCTGCTTCCCTTTCTCGCTCTAAGAGTCAGGTAAACCACATTTTATCACATCTTTGTATGCTTTTTAAAAAAGCTTACCTAAATGATAATTAATTTCACTGTTATTTTAGTTTTTATTTCTGTAAATACAAACAAGTATTATTTGTTTTGAAATAATAGGAAGACTAACTAACTAACTAACTTGTAACTGTTTTATTCTGTAGTTCACTATGGGTTATTTAGTCATCCCTTCTGTAATGGAAAGCATTCTATTAAATGAATGTTCTCTTTGTTGAATAAGTAGAACAGTTCTGAACCATGATGTGTGTACTGTTTTTCTGTAGGGTGGAGATGACAGTATGATAGGAGAAGGTACAAACATTGCTGACAAAGTGACCATCAAGAAATCCATCATAGGAAACCACTGCCAGCTAAAGGAGAAGGTCAAATTGTTAAACTGTGTGATAATGGACCATGTGACTGTAGAAGAAGGGTAAAAATGGATTCTAGTTTTTTCTCTGTATTGGTATTTATTTATAATTTACATTGTGTGAGCGTATCACAAGTTTTTAAATAGCACTGTTCACAACTTGAACTTGGATTGCACAATTCGAAATAAAACTAACTGTAATAGTAATATAGTTTAAAATTACAGCACATCCTAAACAAGATCCAATATAATATAAAAAGGATCATAGATTATGGTTATTCTGAAGGGATTCTTTAAAATTACTCATTACAAAGGTAAAAATAACCAAAATCGTGCATAAATGAAACTTTTTGTAGAAAATATTTCCAAGAAAACGTTTATTTCAATAAGTTATAATTATATATTCAAATTTCTTGGTGAAACAATAGAATGAAGTCTATGATTATGAAACTGTGATTAACCATTTACTAGGTCCACCCTCCAGTCCTGTATTCTCTGTAGTAATGCTTTTGTTGGGAAAGGCAGTGAACTTAAAGACTGTATAGTAGGACAACAACAAAGAGTTATGGACTTGTGTAAGTAGTCAGTTTCGAGTGCATGTTTCTAAATCAGTCTCTTAATGATAAAACACCTCTTGTTTAATCTGTATAATAATGTCACAACTTCCCTGTTATCTTCTGTTGACAACTGGTTACATCATCCAAATGTTTAGTTGAAATATCAACCATTAAGTTGACCTTAAGTTGTTGTTCCATAACATCCAAGTTGGTAAAGAATGACTCTTTTTAGATCAACAACATAATTGTTTCTGTTGGTGTTGTGATGTTTGATTACATTTGGTATACATAATAGTTGTGACATTTGATCATAGTGGTACACTTAATAGGTATTGTGATGTTTGATCACACTTGTTACACTTAATTGTTATTTTGACATTGATCACACTTGGTAAACCTAATTGTTATTTTGACACTGATCACACTATTGTTATTTTGACATTGATCACACTTGGAACACCTAATTGGTATTGTGACGTTTGATCACACTTGATATTTTGACATTGATCACACTTGGTACACCTAATTGTTATTTTAACACTGATCACACTTGGTACACCTAATTGGTATTGTGATGTTTGGTCACACTTGGTACACCTAATTGGTATTGTGATGTTTGGTCACACTTGGTACACCTAATTGGTATTGTGATGTTTGGTCACACTTGGTACACCTAATTGGTATTGTGATGTTTGGTCACACTTGGTACACCTAATTGGTATTGTGACGTTTGGTCACACTTGGTACACCTAATTGGTATTGTGACATTTGATCACACTTGGTACACCTAATTGGTATTGTGATGGTTGATCACTTGTTACAATTAATGTCTTTAGTTTGTTTTTTTACACTTGAAAGAATGAAATGCTAGTGTCAGTAAACATTATGTTTAAATTGTTTAATATTCTTGAACAAAGAACCATCACCTGAGAAAACAGCATGGTTCACTTTTATTAAAAATTAATATTAGTTATATTAGTTTGAAATAATTTTTATTATCTTTATTGTGAATTTAGGACTAATCTAAATCTATTAAACTGATTGATCCTCATGAGATATTAAGGGTCAAATCCAGTGGTACTGTGAGGATACCCAATTAATGACCTAAGGATTTTTGTGGTTTGTCTGTTTCTCATAATTAAAATCATTTGTAGAAGGTTTTTAAATAATTTAAAAAAATTCAGTTGCAAAGATATTCAACTACATTTTAATCATTATAGGTTTCAATTTTCTTGGTATATTAGTCAATTTGTTTTACAGAACTGGCTTTGTTTATTTGCATTTTTCTTTTTAGTTTGATCAGAGAGTAAGCTTACTTTTGAGAAATATTGATGAAATTTTGTATTTGAAATTAAGAGTTTAGATTAAATTAAAACAGTGTTGTAATAATATGCATCATGTTTTATATTTATTTTTAGTGCATTAATCACTTGTAATAACTACATTGCTTTCTTCTTATCCTTTCAGCTAAGTTGAGCAACGATGTCATCCTGGAGATTGAAAAGTTCATTGAAATTTGAAAATAGAAGTGGCTACTGTTCCTCTGTAGTTTGAGTTTCTCACGCAAAGGATATACCATCAACATATCTACATTCACACAACATATGTACCATCAGTACCCAGATTCACACCACTGATATACTATCAAACTCCCCACATTCACACAACACTTGTACCATCAGTATCCAGGTTCACACCACTGGAATACCATCAAAGTCCCATTAATGTGTGACAGTGATGTTGCTTAGCATTTTGAACAGGGTTAATGGATGTATGAGCTAATTACAGTGGGGAACCATATAAAAGTAGGTAATATTTTAATATTGACTTATAACCACTTATGTTGAGAGATGTACATAGTGTAGAGGGTTTAGAAATGTTTGAACGACTGTAGAAACAATTCCAATATATATATAGTTACTCTGTACTCAAGTTATAGACATCCATGGTTAACTCTAGTTCCAGTTACTAAATGTGTCCAAATTAGTTTCAAAGTTCTTTTTTTCACAATATTTTGAGCTATAAGAACAATCTTCACAGAACTGTCAAAACCTGTCATCTTGCACACCCGGGATGACTTGTTTTTTATTAGTTACTTTATCCTTAGAGAACATTACTTTTCAGAACGTGCTAGTAAGGTTTGTTTTTTAATCGACTTCTTCAGGATGAAACACCCAAGGCATATTCCTAGGACGGCCACAAGGAGCAGGACTAACCCAACAGTAATTCCAGCCACCACTCTCTTACTGGTACATACAACACCTTTATCTTGAACTGAAAGATACACCATAAAGAAGTCATAGTATTAAAATGACATAACAATATACCTTAAGTGATTAAACATTTTAAATTCTTTAGCACCAGGAGTTACCTATAAAACTTTTAAGACAAGTTTTTATGTTATAGGATGATATTCACTACTTAGCTATAATTGACCTTGAACAAGTTCTTTTTTTCATTTAAGATCAGTCAAGGAAACATCTGTATCATTGACTTTAAAGTTAGTTCTTTCTCTATTTGTCACAAGATGTTATGTTTAGAACAAGTTGAGAAAATTGGATTTTTGCCTTTCAATATACTGGAAATACAGCTCAAAATTTAACACTTAAAACAATGTTAACAATAGAAAAGCTGATATGTGAATGTATGGAAAAAAGAGTATAAATTTTCTTTTACTCTGAATAAAAATTGTTGTCATTTTGTTGAATAAGAAATGATTATGCTGTGTCTGCTGTTAATAATCCTTTATGATACCCTAAAAATAACAAGGAAACGGTTTGGAATATGGCATAAAAGAATTCCAAATTATAGTAATTCAATGTAATGATAAATCCTTTTTGCTAATTCACTTCGTTTCAGGACTGTATCATGTGATAAGTTAAATTGTAACCTGCTAATTACTAGTAATACTTGCTTTGATTGTCTTAGTTAAACCTAAAGTGATCATGTTGAAAACATGGTTTAGGAACCTTGCCTTCAGGACTATAAGCCAAGTAAATGAGAAATCACCTTTTAAACTGTATTCAGCTAATTACTAGTTAGATAGTTGTCTTATCTAAACCTTTAAGACGCATGTATGTTAAGGTCAAATCTGATATGGTTACCTTTATTGTCTTTGCCTTCTATGTTAAGCCTAAAAAACTAACAATGTATCCTTCATTTCCATTAGTTGTCAAGCCAAAAATCAGAATACTATACGTGCTACTTTCAGTAGTCATCATTATTAAGCCTAAAAATCAATGTACTGTTCATTTCTTATACTGAAACATAACATCAATATATTTGTTTGTTGCATCATTCATGTTTCCCAAGCTTCAGTGCGATATTAATATTTTTTATTATTAAACTATTAAATAATACAAACCTGTTACGTTATACTTGTCTTCTTTATTAAGCTTAACAACAGTGATACCCTCCACAATTATCTCTTTCTGTAATGGGAAATCAGGAAAGATAACAGTATCCTGAACTTGTCTTCGTTTTCTGTTTGGACCACATGACACGACCTCACATTGATCTACACAGAAGTGAACTTTCACCTGGAAACGTACAACCATGTCCTCTGTAAACTTGAAGGCTTCGAAGTTTCCTTGGAGTATTTTGGTATTTGGCACTCTCTCCAGAATTGGGAAAATTTTGGGATCAATAGGACACCTAAAAGGATAACCAATACCTTAATCTACAGTCAAGAGCATGCAGTTGAGACTGAAGTTAGTATTCAACTCTGTATTGATATAAATGTGTATCTACAATCAGTATTTCGACTAATTCCTTTAAGACCTCACATCTTTTCAAAATGGATCCTGTATATCGACAGCTTAAGATACTTGAATAATTAACCTGATTTTTATATGGCCTACAGTTGATTGCAGAGATTCATCATGCCAACCTGTAGCTATGTGTTTGGTAGATATAGCATCACCATGAACGAGTGAAACATCTTCACATGTTAAGAGTAGAGATGATTGTTAGATATTATATAAAAGCAACCATGAAATATCCAAACTCTTCACTAATGCATTGACCCTCGAAACAGATTCTCTGGCAGCATGTTAAAAATGATAGAACTTTTAAGGAATGAACTGAACTGGCAATCTCCACAGTAACAGCACTTGAAAACTTCTGTATCAGCACAACTTACTTCTAATTCGGAGATAAATACTACTATCAATAAGAAGGCGTAGCAATGGGCTCACCAATGCTTGGGAACATTTCAAGAATAATGCTTTTAAAACAACTACTCTGAGTTCTAGGATTTGACTCAGATATGTTGACAGTTCATAATATGATCACACACTACAGAAAGGATTCATGAATTACCTGAACAGACAACAGGTGAATACTCCCAACCATATATAGCATGTCAAAAAACCACAGATATAGGTGAATACCCCTACCATACATACCACAATGAGAAACCTACAGGTACAGGTAAATACCCCAACACTGTAAAGATGGCCATCAGATGCTGCCTAGTTTCACTAATTAGCAAGATTTATGATACCAAAGATGCCAAGAAGAAAGAAAAACTCATTATTATAAACCTCATTGAAAATTGATAGCTGGAACACTTGCTCTTGATATAGAAAAGAAAAAGATATACACCAAGAATAAACAGGAAGAAAATTACAGACACATAGCGATATTACCTTATATCAAAGGTCTCTCTGAAAACATTGAGGATACGTTAAAAAAAAAAAATCAGAAATGTATTCAGAAGCCATAACACAATATGATTACAGTTAGAAGACAACAAATCACCTAAAGAGCCAAAGGAGAACATAAACATTACTTACAGCATCCCTTGTGAATGTGAACTCTGATCCAATGGAGAAGCAAAGAAACTAATGGAAGATGAACCACAGACCAGAAAAAAGATAAAAGCAATGTTCCAATCACTCGTAACTATGATAATACATTCAACCAACCTAGCATGGAAGTGAGCAAACCATGAATACCATGTTAAAGCATTCAAATAAGTCTTTAATGGGACGAGTATATAACACATTAGCTTCTTTGTTGAAGTCCACATTTGAATTCCAGTCACTACCACCATAAAAATAATCCTTGGGACTTCCCTAAAACAACAGCCAAAATGTTGGATAAAAACTAGTTAAGAGTTACGGTTAGGAGAAAACTTAGTAATTAATTAATTAATAATTAGACTTAAGTGATTGTACAGACTACTAACCATTGCAACAACAATTTGAACTGTTGTTATATTTTGAAAACTTCAGTTGAGAAAGTTTATTCTAACCTAGTTTATATTATGTTTGAAATTGTTGAATTTTCAGAAATCTATCTGATCATATGTCTGCTGGTAAGCAAAAAGCCACACAATGGGCTATCTGTGCTGTGCCTATCACAGGTACAGGAATCTGATTTTTGGCATTATAAGCCCTTAGAATTACCACTGAGTCATCTGGGGGAGGCTATCTCATAATGAATAATTTATTGACATAAGTAACAATTGTCCAATGTCAAACTCTTTTCAGTATTATAAAGATTTCCTTATATCACTTGTAAATTTAAATTTCCTAAACTTCTTTATAAGACTGTTATTCCATAAATACAAAAAATTTTATGTACAAGTTTTTGTTTTCCTGAATTTAACTTAAAGTAATGTATTAATACCATTTCGTTTATTTATCCCTATTTCTTCTTTTATGCAGTTGTAGTATTAAGAACACTTATTTATTTATCCCTATTTCTTCTTTTAAGCAGATGTATTAAGAACACTTATTTATTTACCCCTAATTCTTCTTTTAAGCAGATGTAGTATTAAGAACACGGTTTTATTTATTTATCCCTATTTCTTCCCTTAAGCTGATCTAATATCAATAGGTTAAGTTAATCATCTAATTAATATATAAGCTTTATGTAAGCCTCAGCTTCTACTTGAAATTAAGCTTACCCTCTGTCATCCAAGAGTGTAATAAATTCATCACTCCTGCCATTTCTTGCTACAAGCTCTCTAGCAGAGATATCAAATATACCTAAAAGTATAAACAAGGTTTTATATTAAGTGTGAAGCAATGTAACTATTTTTATATTTTTTGTTATTTAAAGGTCATTGCTTTATTACTATGAAACAGTTTATCAGAAGTAATACTTAATTTAAAATTTTTGGAAAGTGGTTGTTGCTAAGTTAACACTTAAGGTTTTGGAACAACAATTAGGCTTAAAGTTAGAATTAAGGCATACAGTAGTGAGTAGTCTAAGAAGTGCATTTCTTAAAAATTGGATTTATAGCTTCATATCCTGCTTGGTCTGATAACCAACCAAAACGTTCGGTATGAAGAATATTCAGTTGAAAGGTGTGCTTTTTTTGTTTTGGTCTCTTTCCAGCAATCATTTTACACTACTGACATAAAGACAGAACCCTTATTATATTTAACATCAAAACTGAAGGAAGAGCTGTTAACACTGAATGAGAATTGAACACATAGCTCACATAAGGTAAAAGATAAACACTTTTATCCAGTGTATTTTAAAAGATTGGTAAGATGATTGGGTCTAGTAGTTTGCATATTTATTGGTAATAAAGTCAAGTGTGACTCATCAACTGAGGAATGAGAACCGAGGCTTCAAGTTTTCATTGTAGCTTGAGGAAGACAGTATCGTTGAATCACTTATGTTGTAAAAATACACTTGTTACAACAAGACAGGATTTTATAAACTTTTGGTTTACCCACAATCTTTTTGACATTATCACAATTTAACCAGTATCTCAAAATTATTTACAATACTGTTCATACTCAAAGGCAGAAAAATGTGTTTTTAAAATAACTTTGTGTTTCACATATATGAAATAATTTAGAATAAATAATTCTGTAAGGTATCGTGGATCAACATATATTAGTAACCATGCATAACGATAAAAAACTGGTCTACAAGATATGATAATTGTAAATAAATATTTAATGATTATCCTAATTACTTGTAATTTAAAAAATGTGTTGAGAACTCAAACAGTAGCTTTTTTGGTCATCTTAAACACGTTGTGTATATGTGTGTGTTTATTAATAGTAATTGTTTTGGTCATTGTATGGTTCTCCTTTAACAATAGTAGATTGGTTACCTTGTGCTTCATTTTGAGTATTTTGTGTTTTATCTCAAACAGATCATTTTGGTAAACTTTTGCTTTCTCTCTGACATTAGTTGTTTTGGTCATTTTGTGCTCTTTCTTAAATGGCAGTTGTCCTGGTCAACATGTGTTTTTTTTAAAAACAGTTATTATGTCGGTCATCTGCTGCTTCATTTTAAACGGTAGTTCTCCCTATCATATAGTTCTTCTTCTCTGACAGTAGTCATTTTGGTCAACTTGTACTACTTCTTTTGGTAATCTTATGTTGCCTTTCTAACAGTAGTTGTTTGGATTTCCATTAACAATTTTGTAATCATATAAACAAAATTGTAAGAGGGATAAATTAACCTGACACATTCTTCATTTAATATCGTGTTAAAAGCTATGAAGGTAAGAAACTCTACAAACAGTACCAGTGGGAGTTCAAGTTCCATTTTTCACAATACTCACTGTCATTGTTGGTCTCAATCTGAAAAGAAAGATCTTCCCCTAGCTTTGTTCCTGTAATTTCCTGGTTACTGCTGTCTGTTATCTTCAGACGAATGTAAGGTGATGGTGCTGTGGCGTTGACTACAGAAGAAGGAGTTGAACCACCACTATCAAGATAAAAATTATCTTCCATTATCTAGTAAACAGAAGTTAACTACAGAAAGAGGAGTTGAACCACCACTATCTGGATCAAAATTATCTTCCATCAATTAATAAACAGTAGGTTGAATACAGGAGGAGGAGTTGAATCACCACTGTCAGGATAAAAATTATCTTCCATTATCTAGTAAACAGAAGTTAACTACAGAAAGAGGAGTTGAATCACCACTATCGGGATAAAAATTATCTTCCATTATCTAGTAAACAGAAGTTAACTACAGAAAGAGGAGTTGAATCACCACTATCGGGATAAAAATTATCTTCCATCAATTAATAAACAGTAGGTTGAATACAGGAGGAGTTGAATCACCACTATCGGGATAAAAATTATCTTCCATCATCTAGTAAACACTGAGTTGACTACATTGTTATCAAATATACTGTAAAATGAACAATTAGTGGGTCATTAACTTTCCTCAAACAGTTAATTAATAAATGTCTTGATTAAGTGGAAAACCATATAATGGCCATCTGTACTATCACACACTGGGATTGAATCCCAAATTTAGCAGTAAGAGCTATAATACCATTGAGCCACTGGGGACTAATTTTATTCATACATGAACATAATATTCACATATAGTAAGCGATAAGTTTGAAGGATTATAACATTAAAAACTGTTTAATACCTGTGGAGGGGACAGCACAGATGGAACATTGTGTAGCTTTGTGCTTAACAACAAACAAATGCATACAGTTGCTTTATAGAGATGTTTACAGTTTATTTACAAGAAAATTGTGTATTTACAACACTACAAAGTGCAGCATTATGTATTACACGAATAAATATATGGAAATATTAATGATGGTGTTCATTACTTGAAACAGAATGATCACTGAAAAATTTAAATTTGTTATGACTTGTTGGCACAAAAAATTGAAACTTAAGTTCGACAGTCAGCCAAATACTAGAAGTTAAAAGTAGATGTATAAATATAGATATTATAATGTTAAAACTGGATAAGACTTCGAGGAACTTAGTTCATGTGTTATATTTGCATTTAAATTACCACAACATTAATATTTAGTCAAGTTCTCAAATTTACCGTACAGTGATGTTAGTGGTGCCTATCACAGTGTTATTCTTGGTGTTAATGATGCATCGTAGAAGGATCACGTGATCAACCTTTCGCTGGATGATGGGATGTTCCTGAACAACCAAAGTGTTGATGAAACTCTGCTGATCCTAAACAATAAAAGTTACTACAGACATACAGGTACAGTTTGCCAGTGTCTTCTAATTACTAGACATACAGGTATAGTTCACCAATGTTTTCTATTTACTATCTGTAGTAATTAGAAAACATTGGTGAACTATACCTGTATGTTTGTAGTAATTAGAAAACATTGGTGAACTATACCTGTATGTTTGTAGTAATTAGAAAACATTGGTAAACTATACCTGTATGTCTGTAGTAATTAGAAGACACTGGTAAACTATACCTGTATGTCTGTAGTAATTAGAAGACATTGGCAAACTATACCTGTATGTTTGAGAAGACATTGGCAAACTGTACCTGTATGTCTATAGTAAATAGAAAACATTGGTGAACTATACCTGTATGTCTATAGTAAATAGAAAACATTGGTGAACTATACCTGTATGTCTATAGTAAATAGAAAACATTGGTGAACTATACCTGTATGTCTGTAGTAATTAGAAGACATTGGCAAACTAGTACCTGTAATTACTACAGACATACAGGTACAGTTTGCCAATGTCTTCTATTTACTACAAACATACAGGTATAGTTCACCAATGTTTTCTATTCACTATAGACATACAGGTATGTTTCACCAGTCTCTTCTAATTACTACAGACATACAGGTATAGTTCACCAATGTTTTCTAATTACTACAAACATACAGGTATAGTTCACCAATGTTTTCTATTTACTATAGACATACAGGTATAGTTCACCATTCTCTTCTAATTACTACAGACATACAGGTATAGCTTACCAATTTCTTCTAATTACTATGTACATACAGGTATAGCTTACCAGTCTCTTCTATTGACTATAGACATACAGGTATAGTTCACTAGTGTTTTCTATTTACTATAGACATTCAGGTATGTTTCACCAGTTTCTTCTAATTACTACAGACATACAGGTAGAGCTTACCAGTTTCTTCTAATTAGTGTGTACATACAGGTATAACTTACCAATATACTTTTAATTACTGTAAATCTATAGGTGTACAAGTTTACCTCTTTTGTAATGCCACATTTCGGAAGTTGTAGAGGCATGGAGAACGATGTATTTCTCTGTCCTTGCCCATAGTATTTACAAGTTCTTGGTTTTGACTGGGAGAATATTTTCCCTTTAAACGGTTCCTGTGTTTCTACATGTAGTGTCATTGTATCCTGGCTACAGGAAAGTGTTACTGTAAAACAAATTTACAGTTTATACCACAAGCCATCCAATTTTCTTATTATTCAATAGTGTTTTTATCAATTCCAATATACCGGGATTTCAAGATGCGAGGTTCGCTTTGATTATAGCACCACAACTGTAGAAAAATAAAGAAAATAACAACCAATCCAATTAGCCTGGTTCATTATAGATCAATTAATAGTGTAACAACAGAACCTGACCACCAGTACAATTAGCCTGGTTCTATACAGAGATCACTTGGTAGTGTAACAACAGAACTTGACAATCAGTACTATTAACCTGGTTCAATATAGATCACTTGACCACCAGTACAATGAATCTGGTTCCTTATAAATCACTTTGTAGAATAACAAAATCAATATATTCACTCTTACTTAGATGTAGATAACCTCACATTTTGTCATTACTGCAACTAGATACCATACAGCATTTTTTGCCACATGTTATTTTTCTTCTAGCAAAGACATATATATATCATTTGACAGCATATTGCTCTGAAAAAAACAGGCAACATATAGAATTACAAGTTTATAGTGTACTCTAAAATTACAAAAGGGGGTAATATCTGTTAAAAATTTATAAAAAAACAACAACAGAGAACTTACTTCTCATACAATCAGTACGATCGTACAAATGTCTCCCGGAATAAGACACCAGGTGGGTTTTTTCAGTGATGCTAAAAGTGTCATCTCCACTTAGCCAACACCTAGCAGCAGAACTGAGAAACGTGAATGATCTGCATAAGAACTCCCTATTCCCATCACATAGTGCCTGACACTGATCAACAGTGAAAGCTAAGAGAAGTAGGTCATGCCGATCTATGTCCAGGTCTTCATGCTCTCTGTAGCTACATTGGTCTGTTGTGCCTAAAGTTACAGAAATAATTGAGTAACTATTGTTCACAAAAGGCCCAGCTGGGTGTGAAAGGATTTGTTTCGTACAACAATGTACAGCCATGGTATTTTCAACGTAAATGGAACTTTAGAAAACATATGGGTTAAACGGCCAGGCCAGAGACCCCCAAGTGTCAGATATAACTCTCCATGATTTTGAACTACCCACCAGAAGGAAGATCCCAGACTGCAGCACTTGCCATTGGTGGTAAAACATAAGAATTAACTGTCACTTGTGTAATGTACCCACAGCTAGAAGTGTGGGGGTGTTAAGTTGCAACACTCAGCCAAGCACGTTTTAGCCCTATGACACTGTTAACAATGTGATATAATATAATCCTTATAACTACATTTCTAGAATATCTATACATGTATACATAACAATATCATTTTAAAAATAATGTTATTTCTCTGATCCTAGGCTTATGAGTATCACAGAATTTAAAACTTACGTTTAACACACAGGTTATCAAAGTAGTAAACACTGTCATTAGCTGGCTTAAAGGATGATGGCCTTTGGCGTCTGTCTACTACACTTAGACGACACTGAAGGAGAATATGGTCGTACTCCCCTGAATGACAGCGAAATTCTCTCTCTTGAAGACAGAGTTCTTGACATCTCAGTTTGGTGGCTACTGCTTCTATTACACGATCGTCCATCCCAACCAGCTCTCTCCCCCTCACTTCTTCCAACGTCCAAATTCGGTTGCATCCCGCTACTGCAAGAAGATATCACCACTTTAACGTACATAGTTTACTACAACCTATTCATCAAACAGAAAGCTGAGAGATCACAAAACTAATGTGTAGACAATATCTCCAGTAAAGTTTGTCGGAAATGTTCTTAGCCACTAATTCTTCGAGGCGTCTTACAACACTAAAACTTGGCTTACGTTTCGGTGGGTAGAGCATAGGTAGCCCATTGTGTAGCTTTACGCTTTACAGCAAACTCATTATACTGGTTACAGATAGTGAGTTTCTAATTTTGTTAAGTAACTATGTTCTGCTTTAAAAAATATGTTATAGCACTCATAAGGAAAATGGCCAAAGTTTATTAAATTTTGATTACAACTTTTTCTGCTTTGAGTTTGACTAGTTCTAGTGATTAGGCGAGACCTTGGGATTAATTTCTTAACCATCTTTATGTCATGTTACGTCTCCGTTTGTTAATTAACTTTCCGTAACTTCGTTCCGACGAAACTTTAGCGACACAAGTCCTTACTTAATAAAACTGGTTTATTCTTTCCGAATATAACTTTACGATACACTTAATTTCAACAATCGTGCTAAAACAAACGCTATAACAAAGAACGTGCTCAAT